AGTACATCATGATTTTTACCTCTAATCTACACCCTCTCCTGACCTACAGGTTTGGGGGCCAGCTCCCATGTAATGTACCTGGCTGAGATTTCCCCCAGGAAGATACGAGGGACTGTGACTCTGACCTCAGCCATCTTTTTGTCACTTGGGAAACTGTTGGGGCAGTTTTTGGGACTTAGGTATGCACTTCTTTGTCAATACGTATAGGAGAAGGAGAGTTTGGATTTTTCATAAGGAGAATCCCTTGAAAATCTCCTATTCATTGTTAATGGAAGATTTTGATAACGAGTCAGACAATTAAGAGATGTTTTAACAGATTCAGTAAAATATTAAGAAGTGTAAATAAAGATGCAATTTTCTAATGTCAAACAAACTAACATATTCTAAGCGGGATCACAACACTTCTTTTGCTTTTTTCAGTGAGCTCCTTGGTCGCGAGGAGCTGTGGAACATCGCCCTCTCGGTCCCTGCACTTTTCTCATTGGTTCAGGTTATAGTGTTGCCTTTTCTCCCCGAGGCTCCCAGATACTCATTCATAGAGAAAGGTTGTGAAAAGGCTTGCATAAAAGGTTGGTATGTTTACCAACAAACCCACAGTAGCTAACCAAAAGTACAATCCAAGTAAATGGACTGCACAGCGCTCTTCTAGTCTTCGACCACTCAAAGCACTTTAACACTAGATGACATCACTCACCCATTCATATACTGATACACTGATGACATAGAGCAACCTGCCCATCAGTAACTAACATTCACACTACAAGCGCAGCTTAAGTTAAGTGTCTTGCCCAAGGACACATCAACATGCAGGTTAGCCAGGCCTGTGATCGAACCGCCAACCCTCTGATTGAAGGACGATTGTGCTCCCCACTCTCCCACTGTCGCCTGTCTTAAGTCTTAAAAAAAAGAATGCTCTGCTGGAAATTCATGTGGAAATGTTTGAAGAGCAGCTAATTATCCACAAAAACAATTACCTGCCAATTGTAAATAGGTTTAGGTTCACAACACATTTGGGATTCCAGAGCCTTTTGTCGTACTGTTAGCGTCTGAATTAACACCACTCGATGCATGAAACCATACAGCTGTGTGTATTCATGTGAGCTGAATAGCACATTTCTCCGTTTCTGTGTTCCCTGTCTCCGCATCCCAGCTCTCCAGAGTTTGTGGGGCGAAGGTGACTACAAACAAGAGATGGACGAGATGTTGACCGAACAGGCTGCCATTGAGGCGGCCCCTCGAAAAAGCACCCTGCAGCTCATGAGGGACCGCAGTGTCCGATGGCAGCTTCTCACCATGTCCATCGTCTTCTGCGTCAACAAGCTTTCGGGAATTCCTGCAGTGAGGACGGACTTCAGTTCATTCCTTCTTGCTCAAACAATGAAGGTTGCAATCTCTCAGAATAAAATCAATACTCATGTGTTTCCCAGATCAATATCTTCTCTTTTGACGTCTTCCAAAAGGCCGGCATACCAACTGACAAGATCCGCTATGTGACTCTTGGTCTTGGAGTATCTCAAATCATCACCTCCATCTTCTGTGTGAGTGACTCCCTGCGCGTCTTCTCTGGATTTACCACAGAAATGTTGTGTTTTTTTCTACTTTCCTTGCTGTTAGTTGATATTCTTTGGTGAACTTTCCAGTTGTTCAGCGTAGACTTTGTTAACACTTTTTGAACAACTGGCACTGCTATCATTTTTCTGTTCATATATATATACATATATTAGGGCTGTCAATAGATGAAAAAATTAACTAATTAATCGCACATCTCGATTAATGGCGATTAAATGTTAAATTGTTAATGTTATTTTAAACACAAAACTACACACATTTAATCATCTCTTAGGCAGAATTGCACCTGGTGGAACATGTTGAACTAGTGACTTCCTGCTGTGCTCGTGCATTTTGCGCTCAACTCTCCATTTAACGGCTGTGTTTGAAGTGCCAACAATGTCCCCACATTCGGCCAGGACGTTTTCAAACCACAGCCTTATAGGGACACAGTGGTGGTCCTCTGCAGACTGTGTGCCGAGCAGGGTAACGTCAGATGTTGAGATGGAAGTAGCCCAGCAGCTAGCTTAGCCTAGCAACGAGCTTAGCATAGCAGTGCTTTTAGTGGTCCGTTTGTCACTCACCCCCCCTCTGTTTGACACATGGAGTAATTCTTCTGCACAGTTCTCCGCTGTATGTCGTGCCTCTGTTTGTTTTACTTCCAAAATGAAAAGCTCTCTGCATTTAATGTAACGTTAAATGGCCGCAGCTAGCGGCCATTTCATTTCTGCGGTCAAGTTCCGGTTTACTTCTGGGAGTAAACAAACGTACGTTAACTATGTTAAAATATATGTTGCATTATTCTCGGCCACATTAATCGCATAGATTAACGCGCTTATATTGACAGCCCTAATATATATATATGTTGTCACATGCTGCTGCTGTTTATATATGACCCACACATTTACATATACAAACATATTTGACATTTACAAAATAACGTGAAATAGCCGACTGTGTTTAAATGATACCATACTAAACAGAAGTATCAAAGTTGGTTGACATTGTGTTTGGCACAAGGACAAAACATCTTTTCTCGTACCTTCCCCTCTCCCAGGGGCTGCTGATTGAGCAGAGTGGGAGGAGGCCTTTATTCTGGGGGGGCTACGGCCTCATGTCTGCCAGCTTGCTGTTGTTCACTGTCATGGTCAATTTGAAGGTAGGTTAAAGGATTTCCAATGTACTTCAGCCCACCATCCTGCACGCCCCAGAGGTTTTGTCATATATCACAGGTACTTTATTCTGTCATTCCACAGGGACCAGAGCCCTTTGTCATTCCACTAAAAGGAGACAGACACACACATTTTGTCACGTGCTCCGTCTGTTTATATTTTACACATTATACAATTAACTGTATTTTTTTATTCTCGGAATATAGTTTTTCTGATGGTGATATCAACTACATAACTATTAACATCCGAGAAGAAACAAGACATTGTTCTGTACACAACATTTTGCTATATTGGTTGTTTCCTAAAAGATTGATCCTGTTGGGTCAAATGAAAACATTTTAATGTCAAGACATGCAGATCTTAAGGCTTTCAGATTTCTGCCACAACGGAAAACAGTTTTTAGTACTGATATCATTGAATAAATATGTATTAATTCATCAGAAAAAACTCTTTGCAGCATAATTGTCCTGGTCCAACATAATAATGGAAGCAGCACACCACAGACACAGACATTGCCACATAGTCCGTATCATAAAACAAAATCAAAGTTTACCTTTAATATTTCTTGGGGTCGAGGCAGAAATCTCAGAAAAATATTACTTCAAAATGTCTGCAGGTAATACGAAGGGTAGCTGGGAAAAATATGTCTTTAATTCAATCTTAAGTAAAAGTGAAAATATGATGCAAAACCAACCAAATTAAAGATGACCTTTTCGTTTAAGCCAACATCCTTAAATGTGCGGGAGAATGTTTGCTCTAGATTGCTTGGTTAGTATAGAAGAATGTATTGATATTTGCATAATACAAATGTTTCTTCATGCAGGATTCTAGCTACTGGATTCCACATATTTCCACTGGTTTGATCTTCCTCTTCATCATCTTCTTTTGTGGAGGACCTGGTATGTGTCTCAGCAGTTTGGTTCACATAGAAAAGATGTTTGTGTGCACAAATAATGAAGCGCGTCCCCTGAGTTGTGTCTCTGGTTCACCCAGGGGGAGCCTCAAACACTCTCCACAGTGAGATCTTCATCCAGTCCGACCGACTGGCTGCATTTGTACTATTGGGGATACTACGCTGGTTGCTCTACGCTGTACTGGGCCTAGGATTTCCATTCCTTATTGTGAGTACAACAAACATTGCACCAACGGACAAAAGAAACATCACTATTTACATTTAACATTTAAACATGAGGTTATTTCTGATGCTTTATGTTGTGATTCGTCTTTCCCAGGATGCCCTGGACTCGTACTGCTTCGTGCTGTTCACCTGCGTGTGCCTGCTGGGTTTTCTTTACACCTTCTTCCTCCTGCCTGAGACGAAAGGGAAGACCATGCTGGAGATCTCTGCTGACTTCAAAGCCATCACCGTCTGTGGGAAATCCTTCTCAGAGGAAAAGACATTGGAAACTAAGTTGTGATCGCAGTCCAGATACAGTCGACTGTTATTTTAAATGCACAAACGAGTGTGGCTGTGTGTGACCAAGAGGAAAAACTTTATGGTTTGTTAAAGTTAAATGACTGAGACAAACTTATAACACAGCACAATGTCCATCAACAGGTTACACTTACAGGTCACTAATGCAGACGTATTGGTATTTCTGTCATTCTTTGTGCATGTCATGATATTCAGTATGACTGTTTCTTGTGCAAAGAGAAAATGCACACGTTTTCAATGCTATTTTCACCTAAGACACAAAACAATAAAACAGCAATTGATTTCCATGGAATAACCGAAGACTACTTGTACTTTGCCACTGAAATGTCACTTTGAAATCACGTGCTTGACAAATGAACTGTGGCCGAACAACCTCAGCTGCTCATTTGGATTTTAATAAATGAAAGACTTCATTACATGGCAGTTTTGAAAGATCTTTGAAACAAGCTGCTGAAGACCATCACAGATGTTTTTTCTTCTTTCCTGACTCGTACTTCTCCAATGAGTCATTGAGGGAATGTAAAGTCATCTTTAGTGCAGACAATGCAAACGATGACTACGGAAAACACCGAACTGAGTTGTTTCCGGCGGAAGTTCAGCAGTCAACGAGGGACGGAAAGAGCGAAGGATGACATTTAACAACAACGCTATCATTTACTGCCCTCAACTGGACATGAGTGTGAGCACACGGCCACTAAATGCAGGACTCTATACCAGGCTACTGGCTTTGTATGCACAATACATTAAATCACATAAGAGGAATGTTAACCAATGCAATACATGCTCTTGAGGACGTTATATATGCAATTTGGTAAAACCTTGCATATGCCAAAGCACGGAAATATGACAAAGCACTGAGTTAGACATTTGACCTTTCACCAACTTAATAATTCTGATGGTTAAATGACATTTCACACTATTGAGAGGAGTTTCTCACACAAGCAAATCACTGCTGGTGTGCAACGGGACTGCCTGTTACTTTACTTCTAGTCACAGAAAAGTGACAGAAAAGTTAATGATAACCAGCCTAAACAACACTTTAAAGAGTACATTCAGTCTGTACTTTAAGGACCACGGCAGTGCAGACGGAATGGAAACGTTGCTTCAACAGCTGGTAGGCTTTACCGATTCCTAAGGAATCATTTATACAAACATAAATATTCATAAGAATGTAATAAGCAGTAAGAAATGTCATTGTTAACATTATAACACCTGTTTATATATATATATATATATATATATATATATATATATATATATATATATTATATATAAATGTTTTAGATATAACACCATGCTTTAGCCCATATATTTTATCAATGGTGGAAACAGAAATTAAAAACATGTTATTTTAGGCGCGCAGGTTGTTTTTGAGTTTGTGTGAATTCATTGACGGTTCCAAACCAGTTTTAGCTGAGTCATTGCTGTGTCAGTTTCTGAATAGGTAGGTTGCATCATTCATTACAAAAAACTATAGGGTCACTCAACGCATTTAGAACTAAGCAAGACAGAATTACTGTATTTGGGGGGAAATAAAAGTCAGTGTCACACCTCAGAAACAGACTCCTTATCTACAAAAGTCACAAACCTGTGGACTTCCCCATCATTCATATACAGGAAGTCAAGTGGGAAGTAGAATTTTGCCTTTCTCTAAAAGAGTAATATCTCAAAGTAACACGATAAGAAGCTCACACAGTTACATACAGGCCGCTGAAGTGACACCGATCACACCCGTCTGTGTACGGATTGCTTCTGCTTTGCAGACCCGTGGGAACGCTCTGCTCCTCATCATTGTTTTGGGAATTGGAGGAAGCTTTCAAAGTGGCTACCACAGTACTGAATTGAGTTCTCCATCACCGGTGAGATGCTTCAACTTTTGGTTCATTCTCTTTTCCACCTGCAGTTACCGGTGGTGGCTGAGTGTGTGTTTGAAAGTGAAAAGTAAAAAGGAGCGTTCCTATTATTTAATCAAGTTACAAAATGTACTTTTTCTCTGCAGTACATTCAGAGCTTCATCAATAGCAGCTGGTTCCACAGGTACAACGAGCCTCCACCCCCACGGACCATCACGATCATCTGGTCCCTCATTGTTTCCATGTATGCTGTCGGGGGACTCTTTGGTGCTTTCAGTGTGGAATTGATCACCGGCACGCTGGGAAGGTGAATAAAAGCGACTCAAAGCAGCATTCGGTCCTGTTGCCTTAAACAGACTTGCAGTGATGTGTTCCTCTATCAGAAAAAAGGCGATGATCTGCACCAGCTTCATTGCCATAGTTGCAGGGGGGATCATGCTGACAAGTAAAAGTGCCAAATCATATGAAATGATTATCGTGGCAAGGATTCTGTACGGCTTCTCCGCAGGTGAGGCACCAGGAAGTGTTTTACAGAGTACATCATGATTTTTACCTCTAATCTACACCCTCTCCTGACCTACAGGTTTGGGGGCCAGCTCCCATGTAATGTACCTGGCTGAGATTTCCCCTAGGAAGATACGAGGGACTGTGACTCTGACCTCAGCCATCTTTTTGTCACTTGGGAAACTGTTGGGGCAGTTTTTGGGACTTAGGTATGCACTTCTTTGTCAATACGTATAGGAGAAGGAGAGTTTGGATTTTTCATCTCCTATTCATTGTACTGGAAATAAGATTTTGATAACGAGTCAGACAATTAAGAGATGTTTTAACAGCTTCAGTAAAATATTTGAAAAAAGAGCTTCAGTAAAATATTAGGAAGTGTAAATAAAGATGCAATCATGAATGTCTAACTAACATATTCCAAGCGGGATCACAACACTTCTTGTGCTTTTTTTAGTGAGCTCCTTGGTCGTGAGCAACTGTGGAACATCGTCCTCTCGGTCCCTGCACTTTTGTCATTGGTTCAGGTTATAGTGTTACCTTTTCTCCCCGAGGCTCCCAGATACTTATTCATAGAGAAAGGTTGTGAAAAGGCTTGCAAAAAAGGTTGGTAGGTTGTTTACCCACAATCCCACACTAACTAACCAAAAGTACGATCTCAATCTTAAACACAAAACAATGCTCTTCTCGAAATTCATATGGAAATGTTTGAAGAGCTTATTACCCACAAAAACAATTACCTGCCAACAAGCATTCTTTTGTTTGATTTAAATGCTTAATGAAATCTATATACATTTAAAAAATATGTACTGTGGATTTTGGTTCACAACACATTTTGGATTATAGAGCCTTTCGTTGTACTCCTAACGTCTGAATTAACACGCTCCTCTTTCTCAAACCCATCTCCTATTACTTGTGTTTCACAAACTTCCTTTATCGCTTCCCTCTTTCATCCCCTTGTCTCCTAACCAGGTTCTTACCCTATTAACCGCTGCCTGTCCGACCACCTGCCCTCTTTACACCATTCCATCCTATATTCTACAATCTATCCCCCTTTACATTCGTCCTTTCTCCACCTGTCTCATTAACACTTCTGTCATCTGGCCGTTTCCCCAACTCTCTGAAGGAGGCAAGAGTTAACCCTCTCCTGAAGAAACCCACCCTCAACCCATTTGAAGAAAACAACTACAGACCGGTCTCAGTTCTTCCCTCTCTGTCCAAAACTCTTGAACGCATCTTTAACCAACTCTCCTCCTATCTCCACCGAAACTACCTTCTTGACCCTGACCAGTCAGAATTCAAGGCAGGCCCTTTCACTGAGACTGCTCTCCTCGCGGTCTCAGAGCAACTCCACGCTCTCTCCTGTGTCCTCATCCTTCTGGACTTTTCTGCTGCATTTTACCCAGTAATCCATCAGATGCTTATTCCCTCCTTTCAGAAACTTTGTGTTTCAGGCTCTGCTCTCTCCCTTCTTTTATCCTATCTTGGAGAGGATCTGTGTCTGAACCTTGTCCTCTTACTACCGGAGTTCCTCAAGGTTCCGTCCTGGGTCCCTTCCTCTTCTCTCTCTACACCAACTCTCTAGGCTGTGTCATAGGCTTGCGTGGCTTCTCCTACCACAGCTATGCCGATGACACCCAACTAATTCTCTCCTTCCCTTACTCGGACACTCAGGTGACTGCATGGATCTCTGCCTGTCTGACTGACATCTCCAACTGGATGTTCGTTCACCATCTAAAAATCAACCCTGACAAGGCTGAATTACTTCCCTTTCGAGGAAAAGGTTCCCCTACCTAAGACCTGACTGTTAACTTTGGCAACTCCGTGGTAACGCCGACTTTGACGGCTAGGAACCTCAGTGAGCCACTTGACAGCCAACTCTCCCTGACTCCCAACATTACAGCAACAACAAGATCCTGTAGTACACGCTCTACAACATCAGGAGAATACGTCCCTTTCTCACTCAGAAGGCAGCGCAGATACTGATTCAGGCTCCTGTCATCTTCCACCTCGACTATTGTAATGCTCTCCTGGCGGGTCTCTCTGCAGCTCATCCAGAATGCAGCAGCTCGACTGGTCTTTAACCTTCCGAAATTCTCCTACACTTCTCCACTCCTCCGCTAGCTAAACTGACTACCAGTGCCTGATCGCATCCAGTTCAAAACACTGGTGCTCACGTACCATGCTGTGAATGGATCGGGTCCAGCTTACATCCAGGACATGGTCAAACCCTACATCCCGACCCGCACTCTCTGCTCTGCATCTGCAAAACTGCTCGTCCCTCCCACACTGAGAGCAAAACACTCGACAAGATCACAACCCTTTGCTGTCCTGGCTCCTAAATGGTGGAAAGAGCTCTCTGATGACACCAAAACACAAAGCATTTATATTTTCCACCGCAAACTAAAAACACATCTCTTCAGACTCTACCTTGACAAGAAAGACTAACAAATTGTAGCACTTAAATTGTACTTATCTATAGCAAGTTTTAAATCTACTTAATTGCTGAAATTACACTTTCTTGTTCTTTTGAGTTTGTATCTTTATGGTTAAAATGCACTTATTGAAAGTCGCTTTGGATAAAAGCATCAGCTAAATCACATGTAATGTAACATTACCCTTTTTACCACTTAGTGAGTGAAACCATACAGCTGTGTGTATTCATGTGAGCTGAAGAGCACATTTCTCTTTATGTATACGTGAATATATTGTGTTCCCTGTCTTTGCATCCCAGCTCTCCAGAGTTTGTGGGGCGAAGGTGACTACAAACAAGAGATGGACGAGATGTTGATCGAACAGGCTGCCATTGAGGCGGCCCCTCGAAAAAGCACCCTGCAGTTCCTGAGGGACTGCAGTGTTCGATGGCAGCTTCTCACCATGTCCGTCGTCTACTGCTGCAACCAGCTTTCGGGAATTCCTGCAGTGAGGACGGACTTCAGTTCATTCTTTCTTGCTCAAACAATGAAGGTTGCAATCTCTCAGAATAAAATCAATGCTTCTTTGATTCCCAGATCAATATCTTCTCTTTTGACGTCTTCCAAAAGGCCGGCATACCAACTGACAAGATCCGCTATGTGACTCTTGGTCTTGGAGTATCTCAAATCATCACCTCCATCTTCTGTGTGAGTGACTCCCTGCGCGTCTTTGGCCATCCTTTCTTTGCATCTTCTCCAGATTTCACCACAGAAATGTTGTTTTTTCTACTTTCCTTCCTGGGCTGTTAGTTGATATTCTCTGGTGAAGTTTCCAGCTGTTCAGCTTAGACTTTGTTAACTCTTTTTTGAACAACTGGCCCTGCCATAATTTTTCTGTATATCTATCTACAATATACGTGTATATATATATATATATATATATATATTGTGATGTCATAAGAGCTCTCAGCGGGACAGTTCGTAGCGCGAGGTCACCAAGGTCAAATATAAACAAGGATTTTATTAAAGTTCTTGGGAATTAACAGAAACAACGGTCCAAATTCAAAAGTGTACCGAAGGCTCCGGCTGTCCAAACTTAAACTCAGTCTCTTCTTGGTGGTGAAATTATAATCCTGATTCCCCAAGATAAATAAACAGTCTTTTCAGTCTTACTACAAGCAGAGCGGCAGCCCGTGGCCAATCCAGCAGTAAATCCTTCAAACATCACGTCAGTATTTCCAATGGTAAGTATCTCCAGCCTTCCTCGTGGAAACCCTGCTGGAGCGGTCTGGTCCTTGGCAGAGAGCCCAACCTGCAGCTTGTCTCTCAAACCCCACAGACTCCCACTAACTATGTCTCTAACCCTTGGAAGCCCTTCAGGTCATCAGGCCCTGATCGGTCTCAGGTGTGCGAGAATGTCGTGACTTGAGGGGTGGAGTTCTCGACTCCACCAGCAGATGGAATCATAGCTGTTCCTGGTTACAGCCATTTTATGGGAATGTATGCCCTTCCAGGACACAGCCTCTTGTGACATAACAATATATATATATATATGGTGCTGCTGCTGTTTATAGAGTATTTCAAAAGCTCAACTTCCATCCCAGCAAAAAGCAGAAAAGTTGGAGCCAACCTAGTAAACATCAACACTGAACATTTACAAAGTAACGTGGGAAAGCCGACTGTGTTTAAATGATTGGCACATAGGATGCATAAACTGTGGATACTGAGTGTAAACACACAAATCAGAAGCATCAAAGTTGGTTGACATTGTGTTCTGCACAAGGACGAAACATCTTTTCTCGTACCTTCCCCTCTCCCAGGGGCTGCTGATTGAGCAGAGTGGGAGGAGGCCTTTATTCTGGGGGGGCTACGGCCTCATGTCTGCCAGCTTGCTGTTGTTCACTGTCATGCTCAATTTGAAGGTAGGAGAATGTTTGCTCTAGATTGCTTGGTTAGTATGGAAGAATGTATTGATATTTGCATAATACAAATGTTTCTTCATGCAGGATTCCAGCTACTGGATTCCATATTTTTCCACTGGTTTGATCTTCCTCTTCATCATCTTCTTTTGTGGGGGACCTGGTATGTGTCCCACAGCAGTTTGGTTCACATAGAAAAGATGTTCCCCTAAGTTGTGTCTCTGGTTCACCCAGGGGGAGCCTCAAGCACTCTCCACAGTGAGATCTTCATCCAGTCCGACCGACTGGCTGCATTTGTACTATTGGGGATACTACGCTGGTTGCTCTACGCTGTACTGGGCCTAGTATTTCCATTCCTTATTGTGAGTACAACAAACATTGCACCAACGGACAAAAGAAACATCACTATTTACATTTAACATTTAAACATGAGGTTATTTCTGATGCTTTATGTTGTGATTCGTCTTTCCCAGGATGCCCTGGACTCGTACTGCTTCGTGCTGTTCACCTGCGTGTGCCTGCTGGGTTTTCTTTACACCTTCTTCCTCCTGCCTGAGACGAAAGGGAAGACCATGCTGGAGATCTCTGCTGACTTCAAAGCCATCACCGTCTGTGGGAAATCCTTCTCAGAGGAAAAGACATTGGAAACTAAGTTGTGATCGCAGTCCAGATACAGTCGACTGTTATTTTAAATGCACAAACGAGTGTGGCTGTGTGTGACCAAGAGGTAAAAGTTTATGGTTTGTTAAAGTTAAATGACTGAGACAAACCTATAACACAGCACAATGTCCATCAACAGGTTACGCTTACAGGTCACTAATGCAGACGTATTGGTATTTCTGTCATTCTTTGTGCATATCATGATATTCAGTATGACTGTTTCTTGTGCAAAGAGAAAATGCACACGTATTCAATGCTATTTTGATCTAAGACACAAAACAATAAAACAGCAATTGATTTCCATGGAATAACCGAAGACTACTTGTACTTTGCCACTGAAATGTCACTGAAATCACGTGCTTGACAAATGAACTGTGGCCGAACAACCTCAGCTGCTCATTTGGATTTTAATAAATGAAAGACTTCATTACATGGCAGTTTTGAAAGATCTTTGAAACAAGCTGCTGAAGACCATCACAGATGTTTTTTCTTCTTTCCTGACTCGTACTTCTCCAATGAGTCATTGAGGGAATGTAAAGTCATCATACATTTGAGTACGGATGAAAAATCCAATTGCTCAGTTCAAGCAAATTATGCTCAATCTTGATGTTTTATTTAAACTTGCAAAATGAGAGCAAACCAGCTTCATACTAGTGAAACTGCTGTTATTTGGGCTACCCACATCCGATAAAACGTCACCTGCAGCTGCAAAGTGTTTGTCACTAAGAGGTCAGAAGTTTCCTTCCTCCTGGTCCCCAGCAATAAATCACCCCCTGTTCCCTTTAGACTTTTTTCTTCTGCTTTTCTGTTCTCGGACCATAGCAGGGAATTAAATCAATGGAAAATGACTTACAGAGTGTTTCATTTATTTTCATCCTTCTCAGTGCAATCTGAGCTCAAAGTGGAGGTTGTATTCCAGAGGCTTTGTGTCGGTGACCTTGGTGTTATCCCTTTCATGCTCACACTGAGGTTTAACTGGTTTATTTTACTTTTGTACCTTATTCTCAAAAGTGAGAACTGTGACCAAGTGACAGTAATGGGAGAGTGCTAAACTACTGCTGCTATTTAGCATTGAGATAAAACGCCAGTAACACAAGTGGAGAACGTTGTCAATATATTCACTACTTCTTAACTGTTGGAGAAACGAATATGACTCAGTAGTATTTTTAATGTTGTGCTCATGTACAGCATCATGCCAGCATTGCATCCTGGACAGTTTTCCTTCTTCGGGCCATTCTTCTCCAACATCAGCCTTTGTTATATGAGTCCTTGAAGGTCTTTCCTTGCTTGTGGGATAAACATCTGGACGACTAACTTGAGAAACAACATGAGCGGTTTACTCTTGCAGACTTAGGTTGTCCCTGTATCCATTTTGCATTTTTTTTTGGTGGCAAAATTCACAGATGAGGAACAAACCAAATATGAATGGATTTTCTTTGATTTCGAAGAATGGCCAAGACACATTTATCTATAATCCAGAATCTTGAGAAACACCAACCTCAGTTAAATGTAGCGCTAAATTAAATAGTTGACTCTCGGTCTCAGTGGAACTATTTTACAGCTGTGATGTCTCCGTTACACCAGCAGGCAGAGATGTTGAACCACTGCAGGAATTAAGGCGACGTCCACGAAGCTGATGGAAAGTGGAAAGTTGCATTTACTGGTAGAACCTTTAACATTTGGCACATTTTCAACTAACTTTTTAGACTAAGTTGTAGATAGTTACGGAAAACTATTATTATCTTTCTATAACATTTGATCAGGTTCATTGTAGATGCTTTTTCTCTCTTTATTAAAACCATTTAACATCTGTTATTGTCTTTATGCCATTTGAAATGATGCATGCAAAGGATGAATAAAAAATAGACCATTGACGCTCTGTCAATGCTCCCTGTTGGTATTTCTCAGGGTTTTTCTATCTTTCACAGAGACTCCAAAAGAAAGTTATGTCCTCCTCCAGTGGTGAACCCGTGCATAGCAAAGAAAAGTTTAAAAAACAATGAGGGGCATGAAAATTCTGTTTTTTTCCCTGGCAACACTGAGCTCATTGGCAGCACTGCAAATAAGAGAGGAGCGACTAGAGTCGGGTTTATTACAGATTGAATGAGTCATCGTCTCTTAAGCCTCAAGTTTGTTTATCGGTCTAATTGCATGATTTCTTGATATGCAAAAAATGGTGCTATTCTCCAGGAAATAGGCCTACACATGCTGCTCTATGTACGCCATGTGAATATGATTATTCAATGAAACTATTAGTGCAAAGGTTGCACAAAAATCCACCTGATTAAATCGTCCATTGTCTCTGACGATTATCTACTTTGCCTAAGTGGAAGAGGATGAGTAGCAGATGTCGAAGGAATTAGTTGGTCACAGTGATGCCATTCTGTTGCTTCAGCGAAAGACAACTTACCTTTTAAATCTCTGTGAATGAAAACTTTCCTAAAGCAATATGTATTTGTTGATTTGGTAGAAGTAGAATTATAGCAAATTTGCGTTGGGATCCTAAGGATTACTTAATAACAATACCCATAGTTTTCCAATGTGAAAAAAAGGGAAACCTTGTATCCGAGGAAGCTAATTAAAAATACTTAAGATTCCAGTGTTACTATATAATATAGATATAGTATAGTACAAATATCTTAGAAAATTGGAGCTGAAAAAGCACCAGGTCTAACATAATAAAGGTCATACCTGTAAATGAAGGTAAATATAGGAAAGAATAATCCTGAAATATTAAAACCTAAACCGTCTGAAATAAAAATGTCATCCATAACACAACTTCCCAAAAACCCCCACCAAAGGTTACAAAAGATGGCAGTTCTCCATCATTTGAATCATTTGAACAGCTGTAAAGTTGACTTCACAGAACTTCTCTGCCTCATTTACAGCTGGCTGGCAGATTGGTCCATCCATCATTCTGTAAAACAGTGAGATACACACAGAGAGAGGTGAGGGAAGAGGAAGATAAGGAAGAAAAGACAGCAATCAAGGGAATAGATATTTAATTGATATTATTGAAGAAAACTTAGGAACAAATGGGAATGGTGTCCTGCATTAAATGTTGTAATCGGTGATGATTTTGTACAGGTGGCACACAGATGGGATCCCTCCTGGATCCTGAGCTTGTTAATGAGTCACAGAGAGGAGGGGTGAAGCCGGCTGATATCATGAACCAGACAGAGCCTTTTGGCAACGCAGCATTGAGATACCCAGCATGCCATTCTCCACTTATGGCGAGGTGCCCCTCGGGCCATTGGCGCCGGGGATTAACACAAACCTGGCAGCATTTCGCCGCGCAATGTGTCAGATGAGGCTGAACCAACACTGGAAATGAATTGTTACTATTTCTCTCAGTGTGAATGGAAGACATCAATCAGGCCTAATGAGGGCCCCAATGAGACGTATTGTAACCTCTGATTAATGGTGCACAGTGTGTTTTCTAATTCTTATGTACAGTATAAATTGCCTTTCGAAAAAGTCATGTCTATTGAAACACGATTAGTCTAAAGGGTGAAGCCGAGTGGCGTACGAAGTGTTGACCGGTCACAGTTGAGGCCAGTGGGAGGGCAAAGGTCACACTTAAGCGTGTGAGAATTTATTGCCAGATTAGCAGGTTTAGTCAAGGTCTAATAGTCTAACACTGCTTGACTGCTTAACTACCATTTCTTTTTTCAGACAGTTAGGAGCTGCTTGAATGTAAATAAACCTGAAAACTGGTTGGCGATAACTACGCTTTGCGTCTGCTGTGCAGGTCGGCAAAAAATATAGGTTGGGCAGTCTTAACTTAAAAAATAAGTTAAGACTGCCCGAATGGCTATTCAGTTATAGCGTCAGAACATGGGGATGTCACACCAAAGGGAAGAGAAAAAGGCTCCCTAATAATTATAATGAATTCTAAAAAAAGATTTAATTAGTAGTACACTGTAATATCTTTATTTTGGGATGAACTGACAATGTTCTGGAGTATTCTTGCCACAGTAATTGAACACACATGATGAGGCAGAAGGAGGGAAGACTGCTGCTAAGGCCTCAGTCAGTCCTGTCACGCGTCTCCTATTCACCAGCCCATTGTGTGTGTGTGTGTGTGTGTGTGTGTGTGTGTGCGTTAACACCCCATTGGCATTCTTCATTTGTAAATAATTGAATCAGACTATTTTAGTTTGCTCAGAGCGCAGCTGTAATTTGCAGCCGATCTGCTCTTAAGGACCTGTAATGATGGCTTTTAGAGTCTCCTAAAACAACTTAAACGGCTTTAACTCATGACGGATGTGCATGTGGGCCGTAACACACGCAGACATACACAGAGACACACAGGCACCTAACATGTGTGGCTGTTAATTAAACTGCTAAACGTTCTAACTGAATTGGATTTTGATGTACAGGCAGAGCTAATATAGTCTATAGATAAAAACTTGTTTCTATATTTTGTAGCTTGTTTTTTAATTAGGATTTCTGAAACTATGGTACCGTAATACATAGTGACTGTGATGTAGGGCACACAAGTGGACAAAATAGTAAATATGTGATTCTTTTTCCATGGCTAACTCATCTTCTTCTTCCATCTTCTTCCTCGACCTCACAAAATCTAGGGGGATAAAGAAGGTAGCTGGGTGAGAAGATATACAGGTAGATTGTTATGCAAGCAGCCATTTTAGCACCAGTGAACAAGGTTTGCCTGAACCGTAAAGAGGAGCTCTGTCCATTTCCACTGCCTCACCTGATTTGCTCATTGTTTATCCACATACCTCGGGGTTAATGAAAGGATGTCTGTCTGTTCTGCAGACACTGCATACTCTGTCCGGCCTTAATGAACCGCAGTGCTGTCAATGTGATTCAACGGACGATGAACATTGGCAGGAAAAAAATGAACAAAAGTGTATTAGAAAAAAATGGATATAAAAATGTATTATATTAAAATGTTAAAAGAAAAAGCAGTAAAAAGGCTGATTTGAACTTTTTAAAATGAGTCGTCCTGGGCCTTGTACACTAGAGCAGTGTCTCATCCTGAACATTGTACTTGATGATAAATATAAAACTGTCTCTAGCTTGGGCAATGTTGATAAAGGACTCCAAATATCAGCACTGTGTCACTCGTTCATCGAATAAGTACTAGGTGGGTATAAGTACTTATACATAAGTTACTGTATATCGACTGGAGAGAACCATGTCTCTTGGGAGGAAAAACAGCTTTTTATCATTGATAAAACCTCCTCCTCCTGACATTTTGAGAATTTCCCCTCACTCTCAACTCTTTGTGAATTGAGAATTGGACCTTCAGAGCTCATGGATCTAATTTACTGTCCACAGCTTGGCTGACAGTACACGTGTGACAACTGGAAGCATCTCAAGGATTATCTTGCCACCATCCGCTACCTTGAATATGACACGGCGCGGGAAGCATATGGCTGCAATCTGTGGGACCCCTTACGGTTGGGCCTTCATTTGCTTTTAATTAAACACATGGAAGCACCACATGCTTGGGTAAAGACCTGGAAAGCGACCAATGGGGAAACCATAGTATGGGCTAAGTTAATGATGTGAGGAAAGCTCAAGGACAATAATATCCACATTAATGAAGTCCAAACTTGTGTTTTATGGCATGTCTGGAGAAAGTGATTGCAGTGATACTTGGTAGCTCATGTGAGTAACAGTCTGCAGCTGTAGTTTGAAAACTTGCTAAACGCAAAGTCCACATTCATGGAACGGGGGCCATCGGCTGTCTGATATAATGCATCTCACATGTCAGTGCAGCTGGTTGTCGTATCAAGGCTGACTAAATGAGGACTCTTTTGCTCCCCGTCTGGGAGTTATCCGAGAGTAAACATGAAAACTGGGTCAAACGCCTTGAAAGTTGAGGTTAGGTGAAGTAAACAGACTAATGTGCCAATCATGTCAACAGCATTAGTGCTTCAACCCCTTTAATCAAGCGGCTGGCACTCACACAGATTGTTCCAAACATGTGTGTGTGTTTGTTTGGATTATAGGGGCAACAGCGGCAGTAATCCTCGGACAAGATGGACAACATGGCAATCCTATTTACAGCATGACAATGCTTAACGCTTACCGACTCCACCTGTTAGAAATGTATTTGCCAATAGTTCAACGGGAGAGGTTGACTTCTCCAGGATTACTCTTATTTGTTACCAGTTTACAGCCACGTCAAGGGCTAACTAATTATAATTGGGAACAACTGGGCATGCTCCCAATGACAGTACTATTCAGATGATTAACAGGTATAATGTCAACCATATTCAACATCAAATTTTAGCATGATAACAATTGCCACCTCTCACTTTAAAAGTGTGGTGGATGGTGTCCGTTAAATATAGTCTGGATTACCCAATGACGCTACATTAGAAGGAAAAGGATGAAAACATGAATGTCTGTGCCAAATTACATGACAATCCAAGCAATAGTTGATATTAGGGGTGTAACGATTCATTCACTGAATCGATTAATCGATTTATATTCCTGCGATCCAACTGAATTGATCTGTGCTCCGCAAATCGGCATTCCGGACGACATATATCGATTACAAATCGATTGAAATGGTACATAATCGATTGTATCGATACTTGGAAACTGCACATTGGATTAAAGTACAAAAACGGTATGGATGAGTGTTTGTTTGTTTGTTTTTTAGCACTTTAGACACGTTAAACGTTACTCGATTCAGTCTGCGACGTCATCAGGACACAGCGGCAGCCGCGTGAAACTCGGAACAACAACAAAACAGCGTGGAGGAGACGACTGCGAGCGAGACATTTACAAACCAACTTATCGATCCAGCGTGTGGAAACATTTTAGCTTTTGCAAACACGGTGCTCTAAATAAGTCAGTCGCTGTTTGTAGAATATGTAGAAGCCAAAAAAAACAAAACACGGAAACACAACGAATCTTTCCGGCCATCTACTAAGGCGCCGTGGGATTAAACAACGCCGACAGTCAGGCACCTCTAGCAGCGTTACCGCTGCAGCAGCAGCAGAAGGTAACTCCAGCTCTGCAGACACCTCAGGCCTCGCCAGCACCAAACTCAACATCACAGTAACAATTGGCAAGTTTATCTGTAAAGACATGCGACCCTACAATGTGGTTGAAAATTCGGGGTTTTGTGAATTGAGTATTATTTAACATTGTGTAATTATTGTGTAATGTTTACATTGAAAATGGCACTTGATTCAAATAAAAGGTTAATACATTTGCCATTAATTGTTGTTTGCTTGTTTATAATATCCATAATTAATTTAAACCTGATTTCCTTACAAGAAACAACAGGGATCTCAGAAACTTTGCCTGCACTGTCCAGTAAAGTTACTGAATCGATTTCAAGTCTCTGAATCGAATCGTTCTAAATTAACCCAGATCGTCCATGAACCGAATCGGCAACTATGAATCGAGATTCGAATTGAATCGTTGTTAAAATGAATCGTTACACGCCTAGTTGATATCTTTCAATCTGAACTAATGTGGTGGACTGGTAGACTGGCCCTGCCATCGCGCGCGCACACACACACGCACACGCACACACACACACACACACACACACACACACAAATCCCTGGACCGTTGTCAGCAGTTTCCAACTTGCATATGTTGATGCAATAAACCAGAACTTCCATGGCATCTGTTTCCAGGACAATGGAGCTTGATTTGTTCGAATGTGACGGCACCCATTACCATGCAAGTAGAACAACCCAGTGGAGGGGGATGGTCCTAACCAACATCTTCACCACATTGTCATTCATTTATGCATTAAACAGATGGAGAAGGTGACTGTTACGCACTCTTGTGAACACCAGACACGTGTGTTGTAATCCTCTGGAGAGAAACACAAGCTGTCAATCAAATCACTCACTGAAATACTCCTTTATTCCAAATGCAGGACCAAGTCAGCCAAATAAAACATGCATACGTTGGTTTTGACATATTCTATATCTACATTATAGATATTTATTACATAAATGATTCTATCCATACAAAATATAAAAATATGTGAGGCCTCATTTACAACCATATGTACATGGACTTCCTTAACTTAAGTGACATTATTAATTCATTTATCTATGTACATACTATGAACTGAATACAATAGCACAGTATATTCTATATCTAAATCACATTGTGTGAAAAAGCTAAGCTGTACCAAACCAACTACTTTGCACACTTGTCTGCTGCATGTAAGTGAAGTTAAAAAAAACAATTGCACATCGGCTTTTGATAAATGTTGTAATAGAACAGCGCATTGAACGTTTAGCCTTAACACTCAAGAGATATTCCGAAACATTAAAATGAACAAACATGCAAACGCTGTTGCTTTTTCACTGTTAACCAACTGTAGTCCATCGCTGACTTTCATTACTTGATATTCATAACTCAACAACACTGAATAAATGGACTTTGAGATTGACTTTGTTTTTTTTGTTCCAGATGGGAGATAGTGTTCACAGTCTGGACAAAGAGGAATTTCTTTTACCAGATGAGAGGGTGTTAGGAGATGATACAGTTCTTGCTTTTTCTGCGTTTGCGGGTGTGTAACTGCCCGCCGTGGTTGGGTCCTCCAATCCCGTTGTACTTATGGACGAGCTCCTGGTTGCTGAGGTAGCGCAGCTGGATGGGTCTGGGAATCGGCTCACCCAAGAAGTAACCTTCATCCTCCGATTCGGAGGATGAAGAGCAAGTTGAGCACCAGCCATCATCATCATCGTAATCGTCCCAGGAATACTGGTTCAAGCCAGTGCGTCGGCTGGCGCCGGGGTTCTGAAGAGTCAGGTCTGAAGTGGTTCTGGGGCACTGCCTGAAGGGTTGGGGCTGGTATCTCCCCCCTCCTCCTCCTCCTCCAAACTGGTCCCTGACGCTCCTTGGTGGCGGGAAACGATCGTAATCCTCACGCACACGTAACTGTGCTCTTTCTTGAGGTATCACCCTTCGTTCTGCCACCAAGTTGAGAGCGTTTTCTGAACGGGATCTCCGGGACCTGCGGGAACGGTGGTGGTGGTGCCGGCGCCTCTGGGGAGTATTTTCTGGAGCATCTATCCTAATACTGGCTCCCCTTCCACCTCCTCCACTAACGACACCACCCACCCTGCACTCACTGATGGGGGGTAGGCGGGCAGCATTGGCGCTGCTCACCAAACTCACCCTATCCTCCTCCTGGAAAGTGAAGCCAGGTGGTAACTTGGTCATACCCATTCCGCCACCCATACCAGGGTGGTCGCAGTACTGCACCTGGTACTGGGAGGACCTGGGAGGATCCATTTCCATGTAGGGTTGACTGGCAGTGAGGCTGTGAATAGACTCAGAGCTTCGAAACTGAACTGAGGAGTTTAGGGTGCCCATGTTACTTTTCTCTGACACGTTCATCCCAGAGTCTTTGCTCAGGTCTGGCATGGAGAAACGAGAAAGATGCTCCTGCCGCTTTCCTGCTCCATCTGCTGAGTTGCCTGCAGGCAAATAGAGTTGGATTTTGTGTCAGTAGGCGGTTTATTCAATGTAATCCCATACAATTTTACACTTTATTCAAGGTGGATTTCAGATTACATTTGGGCACAAGTTATGATGTACACCACCAACAAAACTCTACTAACACTACTCACAACCTCTCACGCAATGCAAACAGAGTACTAGAACCAAAAACAAGGGCAAGCAGAGGTCTAACGGCTACTGTTGTACCCACCTGTTGCATTGGATAGGGCCAGGGACTCCATGGATCCTCTTGGAGTCTGCTCCAGAGGGGTCAGTTGCTCTGTGAAGTTAAGTGCATTGATGGGGTTCCTGCTCCTCGCCACCTGGGTTGCTGCTGGAGGCCCCGTCTCTCTTTCCCTGTCCCTCTGAAAGCCGTGCAAACTGATTGAGCGCTTGTCAGAGGAGAACCCATTGTGATGCTGAGAACACTGGGACACCTCCGTGAAGCTCTTTTGGGTCCTCAGTTTCGGTGGATAGTACTCTTCCTGGCTTCCTGGGGCTGGCTGTTGGAACCACATCTCATTCAGAGACTGGCCCTTCATGGCGGAGATGGGTGGCCTCTTCAAACCCCCATTTTCCTTGATCCTGTGATCCTGCAGATGATTTGTCTGTGCCGAGCAGGTGGGGTTATAGGCAGTCCTGACGTTACACTGGCTCAGGAGCTGGAGAGGGGTAGTGTGGGCAGTTGGGTCTGATTGGGACTCATAATGATAGCCGTCCCCTGGTCGCTCTTGGCGCTGCCAGGCTGGAGGCTCACGCGTCAAACTGGCCGTTTGGCTGGAGAGACTGAGCAGATCCATTTGTAAAGACAGTGGGTCCACCTCCCCAGAGAATCTCTCAGTCTGAACCCCACCACCTCCGCCTCCACTCTTCCCTGCCTTGGAGCTGCGTTTGGACTCTTTGGTGGATCGAGCGCTCTGGAAGGCTGAATCGGAGGAGTCCGAGCCGTTGGGCTCCTCCCCCAGACTGCAGGAGCGTGAGCAGAAGATCTGTCCCTGCTTGGGCAGGAAGGGCCGACCAAGCAGAGAGCATTTACAGCGGGCACAGCAAAAGCAGCCCTCTGTGGCGTGCCAGTGCTGCCCATCGTAGGTCATCTGGCCTTGGTCAATGCCTACAGGAAAGATACAGATGGGTTTATGTCAAATAAGATTAAGGCACTCAATTATAAATATAAATGCACAATTAGTACAAAGTTTCATGTTCATATCAAAGAGCTTTACATTTGTGATTTAAGATGTCGTTTTATGTGAAAATACGGGGAGTTTACAAGTTGCTTGTGGAGAGGGAAAATCGAGCTGAAGGCAGTTAGTTAACTTCCTTGGGGTAAACTTGTTATAGAGCTTTCCCAGCATTGTGTAAACACTCTGCATCTTGATTATGCCTGCAGTTGTTGCAGGCAGAAAGAAAACCAGCTATTTGCTAATAGCTGCCATCTGGTTGCAGCATGCTTTCTGATGGTTTCAATTTATATTTAGTTGGCTTTTTAAGCCAAATACTTTTCTATATCCTGTCCAACAAATAATTACAGAGCAAATTTGTTGAGAGGTATGTGCCAAAATCACACTTGGGCATCCTGTCTGGGGAAACGCACACACAGAGGTTTAACAGGAGGTGGAAGTGGGCCAAGAAGTGCTAACCTAAGGTTTCCCTCTGAAAATAACCAAGTTTCTCCTCTTAGTGGGTTTGCCTCTCACACTTTCTGTGAGATTTTGATTTGTATTTAACGGACACTTTATGCATCGGTTTGCAATAAAAACAGGTCCTAAGTGTGAAAAGTCACTTGATACAGTCAGGGTGGATTCACGCTGCATGATATATACTGTACATATTTCTGTGCTTTGTAAGCAAAGATCTCTGTGCTCCTGTTCTATGTGACCCCGCCTCATATGCCTGCGTTTGTTGAGAGGATAGCTTGGGAACTCGCGTTAGAGTTAAGCGGCTAAAACCAGACAGTGTCCATTCTACGCTTTTTTTCTGATCCCTCATGTAAATTAAGTCACAGATTTATTCTCCTTTAAAATAAAATAATGTTCCACTTAATTACTCCATGTAGACACGTATCTACATGTCATTTTTCCTTTACGCGTTCCCTTGCGTGACACGTTGGTGATTAATGCAGAACGCATAAACAGTGCTAGATGCTTGAGACATACCAATATGTTCCCCGCAGGAGTCGCAGTACTCGGCGTAGAGGGACTCGAAGCAGGAGCAGCAGTAGGGCCGTCCCTCCTTCATGATGTAGCGCTGACCCCCCAGCACAGTCTCGCACTCGAAACAACAGAAGTGCTTCATGTGCCAGTGGCGCCCCTCTGCCTCAGTGCACTCATCCGCAAGGATGATCTAAGAAAAGGATAAATAAGAAAGATTGTTTATCACAGGTCCTCCGAGGCAAAAACACAATTAGGGTTAGTACTGCTCGCTAAATGACAGGACAACGGCTTGGCCCGTCCTTGCTCCCTTTCTACGCGCACCGCTTTCCCCTCTAGTGCTCAGTCCTCTTAAATCGTCCTCTGTGTCACTTGTAGAAGAGGCTAATGTGTGAGGACTTAAAATCAAAGTCAAATCTACATGGTGCATTTACTTAATTATGCTGCAGTCAAAACACTAGGGTGCTTTTAAAGTGCTAACAGCGTCCTTGTCCCCATTTGCTGAGTGAAAGACAGTGTTAATGGTTGAGGGATCACGAAATTGAGAACTGACCCTATTAGATCAGAAAAAAAACATTGACATTGTGTTTTGGGAAGCCTGTGAGCATCATATGACAGAAGTTTGGCCTTATACAAGCCAGATTGGTGTGTAGTATACATTTAATTGTGTGTTTGTTAACACATGATCATCCATGTGCAGACGTGTGTGTGTGTGTGCATGTGATGAGCATCTACCTCATCGCAGGCGGTGCAGCGCGGCTTCAGTCTCTCTGCGTGGTGCCGGCCGCAGTAGATCTTGCCGTCCTGGTGGAAGTAGATGAGGTCCACCAGGAGCTCGTTGCACATACTGCACACAAAGCAGGCCGGATGCCAACACACGCTGTGACCTGCCCGTGACGCAAACACGGCAATGTCGCCACCATTGATCTGGCCTCCGCACTGAAGAAAGTAACGAGAAGAAGAGAGCTTTGAGTTAAAGGTTGCAGAGTTTATAATTACATTAAATCCATTTTTTTTAGTTCAACTTCCAATCAAACTATATGTACACCAAAAACACGACAAATAATCTTTAAAAGGCTCGTGCAAAACCTATAAGGTTCATCACAGAGCAATATTAACAATTCATTACAACAGTGATACACATGCTCTATGAGCTCAACATTGTTTGAAAAACTGAAAAAGGTTTTGGTTGCCCTGGAAAGAACTCTTTGAAATGAAAGGATTGCGCAAACTTGAAGGTCTACAGTCAAAATGTCCGAAAGCCAATAGGTGATGTCTTCATTGCTTTTCTCCGATCAACTGTTCAAAACCCAAAGATACTCAGTTTATTATCACATACGATAGTATTGTGACAAAGCTGGAACCTGGTAATCTCTAAACAACAAACTTGGCAGTGGAAATCCGCTGAAGTCCAATTTCAGGGGACCCCTTAAAAGGTCATTAATGGTACTGATACAGATTTAGTGTATCGAATTGGACAACACAACTTTGCACAAACGCAGGACAAACCTGAGAGCACATGGGTGTGTTTACATGTGCGGCTGGCAACGGCCAATAGAATAGACAGACGCAGAGAGGAAGTTGGATGGTTGGTGAAGGACGATGGTGGGGTCAAGAGGAGAATACAAATTGAGTGATGTATGGGAGGATAAAAAGGAGAGCAAGATTGGCGTGGAGGTGTAAAGGTAGAGAAGGCAGAAGGATAAACGAGAGGGTGTGCTGAGGAGACAGGGGGGGAAAGGTCAGGTAGACAAAGTAGATTTAGAGGGGTGGGAAGATGGGGACGGAGCGAAAGTTACAATCAGGTTATCTAACTGGTACAGGGCCTCTAAGGAGGCCATGGAGGAGGTGGGAAATTCAATCAATAAAAACACACAAACACACTCTCCCAATAATCTGCTCCCTAGTGTGTGCATGTGTGAGTCTGCTCGGCCGAGTAAATGAGAAACACAAGCTATAAAGCAGCTTCCCACCCGGGGCACCGACACAACAAAGAGTGGCTACGATTCGCGGGGGCCTGTTGCATACACACTAACAAATGGCTCGCGGATGCTGTATTATGATTGCTGTTAATAAAACACTCCATTGCACTCTTTAGTCCTATTAGATCCCTAAATATATAATGGATAAATAAATGCAGACAACAAACTAAATTTTTGATAGGACTGTGTGCATTGCGATGACGTGTGTCTAGAAGGATTTAGAGCCGGTTGAACTGTAACTTGGTTCGCTGCAGTTGTATGTGAGTCACACTAATACTGGGATTAACAGACTGACAAGGTCACAACAGAGTTACAAAAGCACACAACGGTTGCACGCTTGCCCTTTATATGTCAACATAAAGCATTTCTCATACATCATACCAAAGACCAGAAATGCCAGCAGGCTTGTCAGCAAGTCGCTCACATGATTCATTGCATCGGCCACATGAGCTCGTCCCGCTTAATAATTCACTCTTGTCCCGGGACGCGGCGCAGAAATAACATTTCAAAGTAAAACGCTGGCCGATCATTGATCTTGTTGCGTCTCTCGACTGCAGGAGAAACGCCACTCGCGTTAATGTTTTTTCTGTCAGCTACCTGTTCACAGATTGCCCCCGTCATCGTCACGGGGAACGGGCGGACGTTGCCGCGGCCCAAGTTCTCCCGTTTCCGTTGGTTGCTAAAGAGCTTCAGTTCTCGCTTCTCCTCGTTGTCCAGACCGTTACAATAGCGCACCTACACACACACACACACACACACACACACATTTGTTAAGTGTGACACAGACAAACGTTTTTGCCTGTAAATCAATATAGATCATCAAACTTTGACATTGCAGTCAAAAAACAAAGGTGAGCATAATAGTACTGTCTTTGTTAGTATTTCCCCATCAGGACAATTATATCATACATTTTATGTTATTGTTTTCAGGCTGGTGTAGAAGGGTGTCCATCTTATAAGTGCTGTTGTCAACTGCTTATGGAAACCCCACTAATATCTCAACATTATAATAATTTATTAATGCAAAAACAAAATCATTCCCGCCCATTCCGAGGCTGACTCCTCCTTTTTTTGTGTTTGTCTCCTCCCTTCTATCCTGTTATCTGTGTATCGCCCCGAAAGGAGGGTGGGGAGGGAGGGAGGGAAAGATGGCCGGGGGTGATGAGGTAGTGGGGGAGGGGTCAGTTTGGACTCTCACCTCATTGTCGTGGGGCGGGAGCTGATGGAGCAGCTGTTTGATGCGGTATTTCTCTCCTGGGCTGTTCACGTAGGGCACCTTGTCCTCCGGCAGGGAGCTGTAGTACTGATGAACCTGAGCAAGATACAGAGAGAGGATGAGAGTGATGAGGAATAACTACATACCTGTAACATGTAAACCTGACAAACCAAAAGAAAATACACATCGGCGGCAACCGGTTTAATTTTTCATTATTAATTAAGTTGATTACTATTTCTCATTCAATTATTTCTTGTTTTGTATTTGTTGTGCACAAAATGTCTTAACTAAGAATGGTTGAACAATTTGATAAGTGAGTTTCAATTCGTATTAAATCGTAGTGTATTGATCATTACTGCACTGTGCAGAGATTTTCCTTTTTCTTTCTTTAATGTGTGAAGAGCCTGTGAATACACAGGCTCTACAGAAACCAACACACACACACACAAACAGACCCAGACACACACACACACACACACACAGAAAATCCCCTCTTCATCTTTGCACATTGACATGGGAGCATATTGCTGACCTGACAAAAGTGCAAAAACTCATGCACACAAATGGTTGACATGGATACATTTAGCAGTGCGTGTGCACACAAATGTGTGCGATAGCAGAATATATGCTAATCTCGCTATTCGAAATTGCTTTGCACGTTTGCACATTACGCCCCCAGACAATGAGTGTCGTCTGTTTTATTTATGGCAGTCTTCCTTTTATCACACTGTAACAGGGTGCGGGGGTATAACAGAGGTCATGCCGTCATATATGAATGTGATTGGAGGAGGAGGAAACCACAAAAGCCACTGGGGTTTAAATGGAGATTTGGGATCACACATTAAAGAAAGAAAAAGGAAAATGAGAAGTGACCGGGTGGAAATACAACAAGATGAAAATGTTAGATGGATGAACATCACATGACACAGAATCCGTCACACAAAACAGATTGACTTGAAAAATGCAGAAAAGCTTTGATGCGTAGAGACCAGCGTTAAACGTGCACACACACAGAAACGCACGCACACACAGAGCTAATGATAAATTACAAAACTACAGCAGGATACAATCTGGAGGTGAAAAGCACATTGCTCCAAGGGTATCTAAACACACACGCCCACACACACACACACACACACACTTGCAGCGAGAGCCAGGAGAAGCAGCTTGTGATAATAACTGTAATCGAAAGCAGACAGAACTAAAGACAGGGCAGAATTTTCGAAGTGAACGGAAAGGAGTGTTTTTAAAAGCTGGAGCAGAGGACTTTCTAACTGAGTGACAAGAGTGATCGCTTCACACAGCTGGTTTCTATTGCTGTTAATGGCCAGACAGCCAGAGGAAAATACCCCACCAGGAACCAGCCCCAACATTCCCTCGTCAAACCACTTTACAGCGGTTATTGGACGTAGATGTTGCGTTGTTGAGGAAACTCTGGTAGTTACAGCCAAACGTTGATGCAAGGGATGTTGCTTTCATGGAGAAATGAGCAGATTCAATTCCTGTGTCCTTCTCTTTGTGTACTCGGACACTGCGGTCGGTCAAGTTGTGGAAATGGATTCAATGCGTTTTAAAGTTAAAATGTCTGAGATTGCTTGATAACGCACAAAATAAAAGCTATAGTGAATATACTAAAAGTCCACAGCGAAGCTGCTCAGGTCCATCTCCTAATGGGTCATACTAGCCGTGGGTACTTTTCAGACTGGCTCTTAAAGTTGCTTTTATCCAGATCGGCGTTGTTGGTCCCTCTCAGAATGTTTGCATGAATAACCTTGAGCTGAATTTCTAATTTAGTAGGCCACATGTGAGAGAAAAAAGCAGACTCCATGTTAGAATGGAAATAAAAATCAGATTGTGGTACATGCTGCACATTAGACTGCTTGCAACATGATGGTAACATGAGGGAAACACAGGCCAATGCTGAGTAACATTCTTGGACTTGACAAGTTGTAACTTGGCAACATTGCAGAATTTTATTAGAGAAGGATGGAGAGAAGAGGGCAAGAGGGGACAGTGGGAGGGAGAATGTTGGCTGGCCCTCCTCACCACCATAATAACATCTCCAACACACCAAGTAATGAATGTCCTCGGTGAAAAAAGTCTGTTATTCAGCCATTTCCCCGACCCACCAGAATATAGCAGCCCTTTTTATGAAATGTCTCATTTCAGAGCGGCAACTTCACACCGCCGCTGGCTGAATAGCGGACTCGTACAGCAGCTCAGGCTCCCTACAGGGAAACCTAAACCCACCGTTTAGAACCTGGAGATTAGCTTTGCGTTTACCATCTCCCTCTATTCTTACTGTGTCTCAGGCCGGGCGTTGAAAAGCTCCACATCAGGCGTACTACCACTCTTCCGCAAAAGGTCAAACAACATGTATCCACAGCTTGAATGACTTGGCAAATAGAGAATATGATTGCTATGGACAATTTTCATTGAGGCTGTTTAAAACTGTCTTAATTGTGTGTTTTTTTTCAAGGTTATTCAGTATTGTGCTCCCGGGAACCTGCACAGTCCAGTTTTCCTTATGGCTTGACCTGAGGTCTTATCACCACTCTATGAGAAGCTAATTGACTTCAGGGTTCAGGACACGTGACCCCCGGAAAGGGAATGAAAAATGGCTGCGCTCAGTCCTTGGAGGTAAGAACAGGAAGCTGTGCCAACAGTGTATTGAACAGTTCATTGCTTTCAACTCGCCTACAAATGAAACCAGCTTCCATAAACGCTTCCATTGTCCAATAAAATGGGAACCCTCCTACGTGCACACACACACGGTGAAATGCACGAGTTTTCTTCAACATTTAAAACACTTGTGTACTGCTCAGGCATATGTTACATAGTCCCCGTAACATCAGTGAAACCTACTCTTAACATGTTTCTAGGCAGAATTAATTGGAGATTAATCGGACTGCTGAAGCTGCAAAATTCTTATTATTCATTAGCCTGCATAAGGAGGACTCAGGAAGATTGTCGAGCTATCATAAGGTGAGGTACATCTTAAACTGAACACTTCCAATATAAGCACAACTACTTTATTTAGACTTTTTCAACGGGGGGGTTGGGGGATGCGGCACCATAACCTTCTGAAGTATGACGGTCACTTTCTTAATGAGTAGCGCGACCTTCCTCCCCTCGCTCCCGAAGCACGCAGCACAGCCGTCCCTCTCAGCTACATTAAGTAACTAATCAATGATAAATAAATAATACTAAAATAAATTGCGTATGCCCAGACCCACGGCCCACTGAAAACGGGTCGGTGTGACCAGATAAGAACTACGGATTTAGACTATACTGGTATGTATGTACATATATATGATTGCATGAATATATTATACATATATGAATGTAATTCACACATGGTATACAAAATGGTGTGCACCAGACATGGATCGTTTTGGTTATTAATCCAACTCCCTGGAGTCAAACAGAAGTATGTTTTGGGAAATTGGAGATCTTTGAGGAATGTGACTATAGTATGAACCCGAGACTGTTTGTCATTTGATACTTTTTTTTCCCCCAGAGTTTTGCCACACTTAACCCCTGATTTAATGGGGACAGACAATGTTTCTGTTCTTTCGATGTATTCAAACGACAGTTGTTGGGTCAATATGTGGTGTCAACAATCTGGTGTAATTGACGACTGCTGACAAAACTGCAAAATGTAAGACTTAGACATCAGTTGTGCGCGCCGAAAGGTAATTTGACATTAAAGTGTAAAATGCGGATACCTGTTCGGGTTTGAGCCCAGGTGGTACCCAGGCGTACTCCTCCAGGGCGCAGCCGGAGTCGTCGTCTGAGGTGGAGTTCCTCTGGAAGTCGTACATCAGCTTGGTAACGGTCTTCTCCATTTCTACAGGCATGGCTGTCACAGCATGCTCCTCACGGCGACACTTACAGTGCACACAGATCTTCCTATCGTGGACAAACAGAGAAAAGAAGAGCATCTCTCAAACCATTGTTGTATGTAGACTACGCTTTCGTTCAATGGGAACATTTTAGAAATGAGGGGAACATTGATTTCACCTCAGAAAAAAAAAAAACACTAGGGGGAACGCAAACCCTCAGTTTGAAAGGGTACTGTGTAAATTTGGGGAGGTAGAATTTCAACAGAAACAACATGTCATGTCGTTGTTTTTGGGCCTCTGAAGACTGCCATAAATCACCAAAAATACATTTATAGGGTAACCTCAGACTACCTGGAAAAGGAAAACCTTTCTTTAACAAACTTGCCTGTAGGGATGTCGAGCCCCTCAAAAAATGACATTCTCTACTTTTGTTCAAAACCGGCAGAATTCTTTTTTTTTTTCCTAACTCCACTCAGTTCAAAAAGTCAAGGCTTCCCACTGCGGCTCTCTGAAAAATGTGGGTGCCACAAATACGACACTCTCCTGCAGTACCAAGAAGAAATAGACCATTACAAACAGGACATATAAATGAGCAGAATATAGATAATGACAGTGATGTAAGCAGCACTGTATAAACACACAATACTACAAGGTTAGCAAGAAACAATAGCAGATGGTAGCTAAGAGAAGGCTTCACTCTCTTCAGTTGAGCAGACCAACCCAGCTTTAAGATGAAAGTATCCATCCATGTGGGAGTTTTTTGCAGAAACTATAGTGGGGAGTGTTTGCCACAGACATTAGCGTTCATCTCCAGTGTTGTCCAGAGAGCAATAAAATGTGCTGCGATATTTCTCAAACCCGAACAACTATTCCGCTGTGTGGTCTAACAAAATATTTGGATTAACAGGACAAGAATTACTCGTTGGAGAGGGACACAGAGCTTGTTCGACAAACCATGAAAAGCAAGGAAGGATGTGGGTTAAGCATTGGTTAAAATTAGAAATTAAGGTCACCTTCACTAGGTCTGTACTTGGAGACACTGAATACATACAGAGCCCCTTGACAGCTATAAGCCTCTGCATGAAGAGGGAAACTGGTGACCATAAGGTTGCATCCCACTAACCCTGGCTGCCCTCAGGCAACCAAATCTGTGAGACAATCCCATTACCTTTCCAGACGAGCGCCTGCGGGACAGCCTTTTGGAGGAGCTTAAGGACACTCAGGACACTGACAGCTTGATTGGTTGAGGATCTGTTAGTGTAAAGTGCTTGGAGAGCAGACAATGCCATGCGGAGAGCTGGCCAAGTCCCACCTTCTCTGTTGTTCAGAGAAGCACTGCTTGTCCCAGGGTTTACCCTTTAGCAATTTAGTCTAGTTGGTTTAGCACTGATGGATTTTGATGATGCTACGCATTTGATTCTAAGTAAACCATCCCATTTCAGAACTGTCCATTTTACATATAGGCCTTAAAAGGAAAACAAAAAATATAAATGGTCGGAAGTCGGACAAATTGTCCACTACCAGTTGAGAGTCTTTGTCATCCACGAGCAGACTGATGGCCTATTACGGTCAGCTCCAGTTCTCAATGCCGCCCTCGGCAGAGAGGAAGGCCTCTTCGGTCATTGTGGAAGGGCAAGCATCAGAAAACTCTGCATGAAGTGGCCGGATATCAATGTCATGAATATTAATGGTCATGATAACTAAAGCAGCGATGCAGTGCAGGCAGCTGTCAAACAGGCCAACTGGTAGAAGGTTGTTTGGCAAATCCCTGTCCCGGGGGCATGATGCTACAGCCGGGGGCGACGCAGCTTCCCTCCTTACAATGGAGCACCTTCACCACCATTACTAATTTAAGGGTAGTCAACTGGAAGACACACAACCGCAAGAGCAAACACTTGCAGCGAGCAGGATAGGAAGTGAAAAGACAAAGACACCAAGGGATTAAACTCGTATGAACACCTCTTCTAGTCTTCTGACGTGCTGCCAGGTGGTTGGCAGCTATTTATGCCTTGGGCTGAGGAGGGACTCTTGGTGATAAGACTATACAAATAGCCAGAGCTGAAGGAAAGCATTTCACACTACATTCCTTCAGAGAGGACACATTACATATCCCCTGACCCGCGCCCTGCCTATAGTCTCTGTAGAGTTCCACCTGGAGGCAGACAAGTTTGTGACAAAGGCCGAAACTCACCTCCCCGACCCAGTAGCTTAGTCCAGATGTCGGATGAAGACCTTCCTATAGTGATTCAACTCGAAAACACTGATCCCCCCCCCACTCCTCCCTCCTTCCATCCGCGCTGGCAGAGATACTGTGGGCCTACAGGGGCGTGTTGCTCCTTCCCTCCCCTTCTACCCTCATGATTTACAACACGCTTCATGCACATGCCTGGGATTTCCCCTCCACTGAAACCTAATCCCTGAGCTTCCCCTTGTAATCTACGTGATTTTCAATTAGAAGAGATTTGGGGACTTTTCGAACACAAGTCAGGTGCATCACTGTCGTCTCATAAATGACTGCATGGTAAGACGTTAAAAGGCCTGTTCTTTATCCAAACGTGACTATGTTGGTCAGTGGGATTGTGAGGTTTGTTCAAGACCTGGGGGGTATTGTTGTTGGATCCCCGTGACCATGATGTCAGTGGACAATGATTCACCGCTTTGAGTTAATTATCATCGCCTTGCTCCTCCAGGTTAGCCTTGTAACCCAGGTAACGGTTGGTTTTAATACGTAACTGGAGTCCGATAGACCCTTCTGACATTTAGCTCTTTAGATTGCTGCTGCAAGACCTTCAGCAAGCATGGCCTCCAATTTGCCTCAACAAACTCATATCCAATTGAAATGTGCTGCAATGCTTTTCAAAGCCGAAGTCGACTCAGAATTAGCTTTGAAAAGGCACACAAGTGGGGTCGGGGTTGTAACCATAACCCCGGGTTTAAGGTTAGGAGACTAGAGTCAACCTAAAATGTAGCAAACCATCTGATCTTTCAGCAGAATCCAAGTGCCAGCGGACAAAGTATAGCCTTGGCGGGTTTAAAGCTGAAGTCTCATTTCACTCTCATTCCAAAACCGCTGCAGCTTTTCCATGGAATCACTGTAGATGGCCAGATTAAAATCCCATCTTTAAGTGGCCGGTCTGCGCAGAAAACAGCGGTTGGGTGACGAGAGAGGAAAGCACAGAGGAGAGAACAGCTGGGTGCAGACTGCCGACAAGTCCTATCTGCCTCTGCCTTTGTTTACTCTAGAAGAGGTGGGTGAGGAGGAGGAACCACTCTTTGTTATCTTCAATGGCCTATTGTTGAATACAACATTTCCGTTCAGCGATTTAAAGCGGATGGAAAATTCAGGCCTTCAACGATTACCCACAAATTAAAAAGATCCAAGCAAACAAAGTCTGCGTACCTTCAGAGAGCTGCCTGCTGGCTTCAGAGCCATTAGGAGCTAATTATGGTTGAACATGACTGGAGGTGTTCCCGACAAGAATCAGAACCGACAAAGACATTTACCATTAGCGGCCAATTAGTAGGAACCAGATGCAGCACGTTGACGAGGACAGAAATATGGCCTTCATCCACCTGTCACAACAAATTATATTCTCCCTTTCAAACTACCCTAAAGCGAATGAAGATGTTGCTCTACTGTAATTAAAATTGTATTTTTCAACATAAAGCCAGCATTATAAACTGGATGGTCTAATCATAAATGCCATTGAGTTGCTTTATGGAAAACATAGGCGCCTGTGTTCTTGGAGATTGAACCATAAAAAGTCGGCGATCTCGCGCCCTGCTGCTTCAATTTCCTCCACTTTAAAGCAAAGTACTAAACTAAATCACTGCAACATCCCTGTTAAGGTGCACTGAAACAATTTTTAGTTAGTAGTTAAATAGCTTGTTCATCTAAAATATATTTGTTTTTAGGTGTTTTTCTACGCAAAAATCCTTGCAGCTCAAAAACTTGACCAAGAATTAGTGTGGGACTTTTAGTTGCATAATGTAACCGAGTGCAACTTGTGAATGGAGATACGATACAAGACAACACGTTGACAAGTTGTCAGCTGCAGCCACGCACTTAAGCCTGGATCGCATTTCTTATTCATTCAGCGTTGACTTGTTTTATTAAATGACACCACTTTGGACGGGGAAAGAGGGAGTCCTGACTTCCAAGACAACCTCGTTACAGACTTCCAACCATAAGCAAATGAGTTCAACAGGCGTTGGTCTATGGGCTTATGAGATCATTTAGGAGAAAAATCCACCAGTCCTTCGAAAAAATGCAATTACTTTCCTTTCTTTTCAGTGGGAAAAAGTAGATAGATTTTATTTCCTTCTCCAAAAGCAATTGTTGAGGACGGAAATATGTTGCGTTTTTGGCTCCTGTCAACTTGGTGTTTGGGCTTCACTTAGAACCAAGCAGACCAATGGTGCTGCAGCCAGCTGCTGGAGCCACATTATTCACTATCTCCCTGTCAGTCCATTCATGTGCTAATCCAGTGGCCCTTTACACTGCTAAAAAAGTAGCCACCTAAATGGGTCAATTAGCCTGCATTGAGTCTCGAAACGCTCTCCTCAAAATAACAGCCGTCGAGCTGCAATAATGCCACTTGTTTCCAGTTGCAGTTTGCAAACCAAACTGCCGGTAGAAATACTCAAAATAATTAATAAACAACATATTAACACGTTGATATGGAGGAGGAAATCTAATAATTTAGTTTCCCTTTATTTACTAAACAAGCTGTAATCCATATGGCACAAAGTTTAAACAACAAAGACTTCATTGCTGGACAGAGCAGGGTAGTTGGACCACTGCGCTGCAGGGGGTGGGTGGGGGACAAACCGGTGAGACGTGTATAGAGACCACGCTACAGTGCGAGTCCGACATCTCTGCTTTTAGGGGGCTATAAACAGCCGGTTCTGCGTCATAAATAAGCAAAGCGACCAGCAGAAAAGTCCGCTGACTTTAAATCGAATACATTGTCTTAGACTAAAATGTAGTCCTGTTACTATTTTAGGCACATAATCCATTAACAGATTAAAGGAACTCGATTCAATAGTTGATAGATTGCCTACTTTTGAGATTTAATTATCATTCCCATTACGCATCTACTGTCCCACTCGCGGATGGCCCGTTGCGCTAAAAAAAAAGAGATAGAAAGAAAGAAAAACGGCCAAATAAAAAAGGACCACGATCAATAATCAATTGCTTACCTTCTTACAAACTGCGGCGGGGGTGAGCCACAGCCCCGACCTGGGTGCTGGTTGTGGTTGTGGTGGTGGTTTTAAAATGCGTCTTCCTCATTGCAGAATTTGTCAAACAACTCCAGCGCCACTGTCTTGCCACGAAAACACTCCAGTCTCCCCCGCTGCGTGGAGTCTGCACCCCTTTGCTACACGTACCCCCCCTCCGTTTAAAACGCCTTTTGTCAACCCCCGTGTGCTCCGCAAACACATTCGGGGAGTTCAGCGAACGAGGAGAAAGCGCAGTTGAAGAGCCAACCGAGCGTGCGTAAAAATCAGATCCCCGTTTTAAATGATCCACACCAAGAGCGTGCGCTCTGGGACAATTATTTGGCAAATCCAAACGAGCGGGACACAAACGTCCCTTTGGGAGCCGAGTTGCTGCTGCTGGCTGCCAGCGGAGATCCGCGCGGACTTTCGCTGCGTAAAGATCCGGAGCGCTGGAGCTGCTCCGCTCGTTGCTGTCCGTTTCATTCAGCGGCGACAGTCAAGCGCGTTTATACCACGCGGTCACTTCCGGTTTGGAGGTTCCACAGTAAAAGTACCATTTTCGAGAGGGTTGAGCTATTTTGTTTTCTGATTTTCTAAATACTATGATTTAATCTACTCAGGAGTTAATTATATTAACACAACGTGTAATGTGTAATGCTAGTTTAATCACATGGAAAAGTAAAAGCACAATTTTTCTTCTGCAATCTCTTTTAATGTTTTGTTAATTCCTGTAAGAAATGTAAGTGTTTTAGAGGAAATAGCCCCGTGACAACAAAGCCCACTCTGCTGAGGTATAGAAAGCCTGAATCTAACTAGCCACTTTCTATTTCATATAATAAACTACTGTGTCAGAGGTGAATAATTAACTTTCACATCAACACAATCAGTAGATAAATCAACTAGAAAGTCGTTGTTTTTACGGTTATTATATTCAAGCAACTTTTTGAACACCAAACAAATGAAAAGCCTAATGGTTATTTGAGAATCTAGCCTAATTAAAAAATGTAATCATCAAACATTCCTGAAGCTTTCCACTACGTCTTAATGTAGAGAGTTTCCAACTTCCTGTTTTACGGGCCAATCTGGTTGACTTGACACACACACACAAACACACACCCCATCGTTCCCCATGCATGCCAATGATCCGGTGTGATGTCAGCAAGTCAGCGTCCCAACATTGGTATAATTAGTAGCGTGAATAACTGGTGTTCTGGGGGTCATTTGCATGTGAATGAAACCACTTCCCCGAAACAACTGGCCCGGGACGAGACGAGAGAAGCGGGAGGGGGGAGAGGAGCTGCAGGGCGCTGACCTGCATGGGGAAATGGGGAGGTGAGCCCCAGTAAACAAAACAGTGCTGTTTAACATAACAAGCGGGACATTAGCTGGAGAAAGGACAAAGGGTTTACCGACCAATGCAAATCCACTGAATCAAAAACAATAGTGAAGTCAATATAACAAGGACATGACACTTTTTGTAGTGCCGCTATGGCCTCAGTTAATATAATAACTATATAGCTTCAGGTTTACATACAGGACAGAGTGGACCAAGATTAGTTAGAATATCATTTACAGCCATCCATGCATTCACTATGTATTATTTGTTATGCCATTAGTAGGACACGCTCTACTATTTTACAAATAAAAAGGTACACTTTTTACACTCATATTATAAAAATATAATTGACATATAAGTTACCAGCTACAAGGAAATCAAAGTGGGACCGGTTTACATCACCACCACTTGGAGTCAGTTAGCTCTGCTATTAGCAACAACACAAACAGCACAACAGTTTCCTAACAGATTGACACCATCTCAGCTATTTTGGCTCTTATTGTTTCAACACTCACATAACACTCTGCTTTGTATTGGCCATTACAATTCTCTTATCCCAATAATGAGCGGTAGAAGTGTTAAACAACATCCCACTGCTGCCCGCTATTTGTATGTTTGAGTTATACGCAAAAAAGAAAACAAAAAAACAGCCAACGTTTAAGGGCAATCAAAGATGGATGGATTGGTGGAAGATTTCATAATACAACATCAGGATTGATGGAAGCGGATAAGAGAGTAATTAAATCTGGATTTGAGTCTATATATTCCCCAAAGTACCCCGCTGCGGCCGGTTGGCCAAACATGCGCTAAAAAATACATGCAGAGAAATGCAAAAGCTTGCTTTGAAGTAACGTGTGAAAAGATGCATAACTCGAAATGTTGAAAACAGCCAGCAGCTGTAAACAACTTCCATTCGTGCTGGAGTCTCTTTTCCTTTCAGGCACTGTTCCTTTGGCTTCTCTCCGTCAGAATAGAAGCTCAGCTTTTCTTTTCAGGGAAACTATAAGAACACATAATTGCGGCCCTTTTTTTTTAACAAACAAAAGAATATCAATTACAGCTCAGGCTGTGCTAACAACTTATCCACAGGAATTTACAAAGAGCTCTTAGTGACAGCGTCCTGTGTTTGGAGTGACCCCAGAGCGGGTCAACGTGGTTTTGGGGCCAGCCGTTCACCCGAATAAGCCCTTCTCTTTTCCCCAATAAACTGTTCCTCGACCTGCAGTGAGACATTTTAAATGCCACGAGTGGGCTGAATAAAAGCATAGAGGCCAGCTCGGGGGGTGGGGGGGACATGCCGCGGATAGCATTGCCTGCACAAGCTCCTGGCATGCACTGAGACATGCTGCTTGGTAATTTTAGACAGTGAGCCAAACAGGTTTACTCCCTTCCGAAGCATGCGTGAGCATATTGAGCTTTTTGTCTCTATTAAAGTACAGGAAGAGCGCTATTGCAAATACATGTTAGCCCAGGGGTTGGAGCCCTGGTTTAATTATGCAACAAAGTTGTAGTGCCTCCAGGGATGTTATCATACAAGAACATCATTCATATCTTACCAGGGAAGGAACTGAATTATATACTGCATGATATGGTCAGGAAAACACACCTGAGAAATCAATGCCTTTATCGTGATTTGAAATGTAGCCAATATCCCAACATGGCCTCCTCATCTTTATTCCTCATCTGCTTTTTTAGGAACACAAGTCCCCTCTCCTTTCATGTGGCAAATGCTGATGACTATCACTGTAGAGTCAACACACAAGGCAGCTGGGACTCACCCCAACAGCTGACAGCTCCGACATGCACACGGGGGAGAGAGGAACTAGCTTCTTCTTCCATACAGCTTTTCTGTCCCAGATCGGCAGAGGGCTTCTTAAGCAAATGTGTAAATACTAAGTATGTACACTACCCAAACTATGATAACCAACTGGCTGCCGAACTCTGTTGCGGCCCCTTTAAACCAACTGGGCTGAGACATGTCTTTAGCAATAAGGGTGGAAAAAGAATGAATAAATGGTAAAGACATTATCGGCGTGGAGATGATTTAGGACCAGAACAACAAAGCAGAAAGTCCTTCAGGGGCTTATCCCACAGTACGTGTTACTTTCTGAAACCAAAGATTTAGAAGACTTCTCAATTTCTACGCAGCAATTGGCCGGGTGTGCAGAGCGGTGAAGGTAAGCATGATTTGCATGTACAGAATCTCGCTCGTCTCTAAGACACCATTTCCGTCCGGCATCTGAGTGTTGCCGTTCGGAATGGCTATCAACACTTTTCCTTCACATGTGGTCTTTGTTCCATCGGGTTTGTTTCAAGCATAACACACCCTAAAAGAAAACCTGCAGCATAATGGAGTTAATCTTTAATTGCTGGCTTCTCTACTTGGATACCAAACAACTAATCAAGCCCCCAGAGTGTGAAACTCAATGGCCTATTGGAGAGGTAATGCGGAAGATGTTGCCAACCGCCGCAGCTAATCCTGGTTAGTTTGTTTGCTATGGACCTGCTGTTGGATAAAAGTCCTTCCGCTACGTTAAGGGTGTAATGACTCTTGTTAACACTTTGCATCTAGTTTACAAGGAAGAAGCTGCCAGTTGGTAAAGGTTGATAAAGGTTCACTGGTTTTCCAAGCCAGTGAGTGAGAGCAGTGCCATTTTGGAGACACACTGACCTCCTCTCTATCATGGACTTGCAGTACTTTGGCCCAAATGCTCTGACCAGAAAGCAAGTGGCAAGTGGTTTCACATTGAAACCTCCAACCAAGAGCCTCTCCGTACCCATGCAGCAGATAAGTGGCCATTATTCACCCCCCGTTGAACATTAACTGGATTAATTCTGTGCGGGTTGAAGGGTGAAATTGTATTTGTCCAAAGGGAGGGAAATGGAAAGGAAATGAGGAGTGTTGCCAGCTTGGCTGAAATTCTAATTAGCTCAGGGGTTCGTTAGCACACAAACTCAACTCTTGCTGCAAAGTACTTTGCTGGTGCAGAGGCCTGGGTAAGCCATTAAGCCACAGAGGGGAAAGTAGAGAGAGAGACAGCGAGAGAGAAAGAAAAAAGGGGGAAGTAGGAAAGAAAGAGCATGGACACTCAGTTTCACGCTCAAAGGGCAGCGAGGTGACCTTGTGGATTGACTCCTCAAGGGGACAGGAACTATTTTTTGCTCCTCCTGGCCCACTTACACGAGGGCCCTTCAGCACAGGGAAACACACTCTGAGCCCTCCGTCTGCGTCTATCCCTTCGACCATCCATCTGCACTGCAGACTGCACACTCTCCAACGCAGCCCAATTTCTACGGTTTGTCAATGAGCTTTCCTCAGCCGTATACTGTACATGTGGATTCTGAATCAAGACATAAGTAGGTCACGTGCAGGTTTGTAAATGAAAAAGGGGATAGAGGAACAGTTCTAGGCAGTAAACAAATAATGAAGTGGATACGAGCAAACCAAACAAGAGACAGTGGGAAATGTGTTTTGATGTTGTTGTTATTATTCCTGTGTTTGTGCCTTGGAGATAAAAAGACGTTTGGGGGACACGTTCTAGCTCTGTGTGTGCTCTACCCTGTGCTGAGAAGCTATCTCCTTTAAAAAAAAGGTTGCGAAGTAATAACAAGTCAAGTAAGTAACAAAAATCTCTCATTCCTCTCGCAGGAACTCATAACGCCACAGCTCTGATGCAGTGTGATCTTGTGGCTCCATGAATGAACAACCCGCCTCCGAACCTCCCACACCCAACACCCTGCAGCACATTCATCTGACTCAACGCTCTCATTCAGCCTCCACTGATGCTCCTCTTCCTCACCATGTCATCATGACCCAGATGGGTGGTGTGGGTGTTGATACTGATTTATTTGCCCCCCCTCCGCGACACCTCCTCTATATAAGTGTTTTTTTTTGTTTCATTCACTGTATTTGCTCCATCAACTAAACCTTCTGACTTCTATTCTCTGGTTCTCTCTGTGTAATAAATCCCATTGTATCCCTCGCCCGTACCTGCAATCCAATGGCCACTGACCAGATGTTCCATCAACTCATTAGCTGGACCAGAATGGCGGTCTGGCAGCCGCGGTCTTGATATGTGATCTTGCCACTTATTTTCAGAGGGCTGCATAAAGAAAGCCAACACGACAGCGTTTATGT